GGAAGTCTAGCGATGTCAACTACCTCCTAGTGCGGACGGGGCATAATCACTCGGCCGTGACATCCTGGACTCGGGCCGAATGATCCATGTATTGCAGGGCGAGCCTCGGCCTGTACACGAATTGGCAGGGGAAGCTAGCTTGTGTGCTTGTCCAGTGTTGATATTTTGTAGTCTGGTGTGTGGTCCAATTTTGTGAGACAAGATGGATCATCCATTCGTTCCAGAGGCTCCACCCAGATTCCAATCGGGCAATTTTTGTTGCCTTGCCACCCATCCATAGGCAGTATACGACCACCGCCGTCTGAGGGAGCACTATCGAGAGTCTTGACATTTCAAAGCTATCTGGAAAACCGACCCGCAAGAATAATGCTTGAGAAGTTCTCTACTCACTGCTGCCAGCATCATCTAAATGTTATAAATCGCATAAGTTCGTATCAAGATTCAGCTATGGGGTTATTAAACTTTAGCTGGTTTAAGTTCGGGTTAAATATTTAACCATCGCTTGGAACCCATCCAAAAAAAAAAAAAGTATGTAGCCCGAGAATCGAATTGATACAGCTGCTGCATCCGTAATAATATTATGGTCTCAAGGGTTTGATCTACCCCAGTCTCCAGTTTTTATCCCCCTACCATGGTCGTGCACCCGCTTCATGTGCTCGGATAACTACAGCGTACGGGAACCAAGTAAAAGAATGGAAAAAAGATTCTAAGGAACCCGGCCAATTTCTCCATTTCATCGAGACAAACCTACAAGCTGCACATCTGCACGCTTCGCCCACGAGACGAACAAAGGAATGGACGTCATCTTGAGCGGGACGGTCAGATATACAGCATCAACGTACGGCTCCTGGTGCCTAAAGAGAAGAAAAGTGCGCAAAATTCTAACATCGCGGTAGTGTATTTGCCCTAAGCGTCTCATTCTTGAAGCTCTCTGCGGACCTCTTCTTGGGTTTTGGTACGTGCTCTCCCTTGTTCCATTTCGATCACTGTTGGATCTCCAATTGCAATTGGTAAATGCTGAAGATTAAAGGATGACCATAACCAGATCGTCCTGCGCATACTATAATAATTGCTTTCGGATTATCCGGCCTCTTCCTCATAATATTCGGTCTTTGTACCACTTCTTCCTCTCTAGATCTCGATGTTGACGAGCACGATGATTCGATACAGTTTTCAGACTCCCTCCTGTATTCCCCATCGGATATCTCCCATAAAGCTCTAGAAAAGCTGCGCAAACTCACTTGCGCACAAACACGGAGAACACGGAGAGTATCGCTTATAATTCGTTTGGCGATATGTGCGTTGGCTTTACGCATCGAAGTGCTACGTCGCACCCTACAGAATTCAGAATGCATGAGATCGGCCTCTTTTGTAAGCTACGATGCCGATTTCTTTGCTCAAACCCTTCCCCCCCCCCAAACACACACGTATCCCGTGTTAATAATAGTGTCTTCACTGGTTGTAGGCCTGCATTCCTCTTTTGCTTTCGATACACGTTTATTATATCAACAGACGAGCCAATATTATTAATAATGCCCAAGGCTCCGATTACACTGCAAAACGGTCGTTGGCATCCATATTTCCGGTTCTATTATTAATCGCTTCAGCCTTCCTCACTTCCTCCCTTAGCAATGGCTGGAAATCCACCTACATCTGTCCTTTGACTGGGGCCACTGCGCTGTTCACGACATCATTGCAAATTCTCGGTTTAGCATTGGACACTGTTACTCTTATTGCGTTTGGAGAACTCGGCCGTCAGTGCACTCGTCGTAGTGATGGACGGAGGGTACAAACTGCCGTCCTCTGGGGCTTCGTGCTGATTGTAAGCATACACTGCTGGGGATTGTATTGTACGTGCACAAAATGCCGTAATCTAACTTTTTGTTCGATGGATTAGGGTGTATCAGCAGTATGGCTGCTTGTTGCATTTCTGATATATTTTTTCCTGCCTCAACACAGGCATGAGTTGCTCTCGTTCTCGTCCCTTTACCTTGGCAGTGTTATAAAACTGTCTCTCATTTTTGCCTGTGCCTTTGTCTCGGCTTCTTGTCTTGTGAGTTCGTTTTCAAAAACATTCTATGTGTAACAAGCATCCTTGCTAACTTAGGGCGCAAGGTAACTCACATTGGAATTTCGGGAATATCTTTCCTTTTCTCATTCATATTTATTTTCACTACACAGATATCCGATATGTGGAGTTCTCGGCGAGCCTTCCCTAGTATTCCAGTATTTGCTGCCGGATTTTCTATCATTTTATTGCATGTTTCGGGGTATTGGTACTTGCGTTCCAGTACAGCCACAGACCATGATAGAAAAAACCGTTCGCTTCCTCGAGTGTGGGTACGATTGGTATTTTTAGCTTTTCTCGGATTATCGTTCGGACTACTCATATCAGGGAAGAAAGAAACTGCACACCATCCGATTGACATTCTTATGTCTCGTGCTAAAATAAATTTTGACCAGTGGGCAGCCAAAGCAAAATCGAGCCAAAATCTTCAGGATGCTGTAGCTGAATATCAGCGACGATACAAGCACCCCCCACCGCCGTACGCTACTTGGCCTTGTCTTCTATTATGATATCTTGAATTCTCTACTAACTTGAATCATAGGGGTTTTGATCTATGGTATAAGTATGCCACTGAAAGGTCTTCCGTAGTGATTGATGATTACGACCAAATCTACGAAGACCTTCTTCCTTTCCGCGCATTAAGCCCCCGAACTCTACGTGAGTTAACTTACGCCTTGGCAGCCGATCATTCAAATGATGTGGCTACTGTGAGCATTCGTGGCGGAACTACGCAAATACAAGAAGATATTCTACCCACACACAGATGGATGATCGAAGGGGTGGCGAAAATGATTGGGGCAGTCTCTCAACACCTGCCTGACATGGACATAGCTTTCAATTTGAATGACGAATGTCGAGTCGCTGTTCCCTGGGGAGATATCACTGCTCTCCACAATTCTGCAAAAAGTCACATCCACCGAAGTACTGGTAATTTTACTGGTTCCTGGTCCGAGAATCGTGCCTCAACTTGGGGACCCAGCGAACCGGCAAAGGTGACTCATGGTCTTTTTACAGACACCTCTTTCCAGCAGGTATACGATCTTGTTGGACGCTCTGTCTGCCCTCCTTCATCGAAAGCGGGGACGTCGTTCGTGTGGGACAGGCGAAAAATTTGCTTGGACTGCACCAGCCCACATTCCCTTGAGCAGTTCTTAAGTAACTGGACCCTAGCGTCTGATATTTGCCACCAGCCCGACCTGGCCTCCCTGAGCGGTTTTTATCTATCCCCATCTGCTTTTAAAGTGTCCCGACCACTCTTACCAGTGTTCAGCCAGAGTAAAAATATCCGGATTTAACGACATCCTCTACCCAAGCTCGTGGAATTATGTAGACAAAGTCACATATAAACCCACAGAGGAACACCCAGATGTGCGTTACTCTGAAAAAGCAACCCAACTCTTTTCTGGCGCGGTACCACCTCCGAAGGGTACAGCTTCTGCCCGGCCAATGGAAAGGCATGACACGCCAACTGCCATGGTTCCATCTTTGCCAACAACTCATACCTTAAACACGAGTCTTCAATTCTTCTCCCTTTCCTCCTCCTC